TAAACGAAAAATTCAGAGAAATTCGACTTGAATAAGCAACTACTTTTTGATTATATTTTTTCAAAAGTCCTTCAACGAGGAATCAGAAATTTGGTGCGTAGTATGAGGAATTTGAATAACTTATTGAAAGTGCAGTTCTGTCAAAAATGGAAGAAGCTCAATTATAAGTACTGTAACAAGATCAGTCATCTATATATGCAACAAAAGCATAAGATTAAACTTTTACCTTGAACTATCACTAGATCCTTGTGACAAATAATTATTTTAAAAATAAATCATTGAGAATAAAATTTCAACGCAGATACACAAAACAGCTGCAGTTGGAAAAGGAAGTATATGGTTCACAATTTCTTGACGGGGGATCGAAGGAATTTATGGTTTTAAATTAAAGCAATGCCTCAAATTTCTATGAAAAATACAAGAAACTCAGCATAACGATCACAAAGCGTTTCTATGAATATTAAAAAACGAGATAAAATCGTTCGCCGTAAAGTTCAATTTCATGTCTGGTCCAAGTAATTATTTTTTAAATTAAACGCCAAGAACGAAGTACAGCATAAGCATGAAACTCCAATCAAAGTTGGATTACATAGATTAGAAGAAGAACCTCTCTTTCAAAATTTTGAATTCAAAGGTTCTTTGACGGGCGTGAAAAAGGAGTTAACTTACGTTTAATTGAAAGCATAACCTCGAAAAACTATTGAATAACGAAGGAATATGTGATGCGTTGGATTCTTGTATACAATAAATGAAACAATAAAGGCTTGACATTCCAGTTTGATCAATAAGGGAAATTGAAGTAATCGAGAAGAACTGCATCATTAAAAGGTTCCTCCATTCACAGAAGCATGCTGCTATGTACCCCAAAATTTAGAGCCAGCAGATATGAACGTCGGCAATTTTGCGCAGGTTCGGACAATCTTCAATTGCTGGCACAACGGCTTTACTTTTTATTCCTTTTTACACCTGCTATGTTTTTCATTATTATCGGGCAAATTTTGACGGCTGAAAAATGAACAGTATCCTTAATCGCTGGAAGTGGACCGATAACGTGTATTAAAGTGTCGCATAAACAAATGGTTCCCCTGCTACTTTTTGGCGAATTTTACGAATTTTCATACCGTCCATTGGATATGCTCAATTGATTTTTAAAATATTACATTTTCTCATCAATACGAATTTTGCAGATGAAAACCATGTTTGAATTTTTAAATAGTTTCAAATTTTGTGTTCAAAGATGCTGATGAATGAGAAAACTTTGTTAAATTCCAATGGATCGAGCATAAATTGAAATACACAAGTGAAAGCAGCGTTGAAAGAAAACTACAGTATTTTAAATAAGTAAAAAGAGTTGTACATTTTGTGTAATTGATTCCTCGATGACTCTTCGGGGGACGAGGGGGGTATTCTGGCTCACAAACTTTGGTACACATGAAATTTAACTTCATAGGAGACAAAACTTTCAGTCCATATCCTCGTACTTTCTTTGATAACAGATTATAATCATGGTTTTTGGTTTTCTGCCAGAAATCTGCGTTCACAATAAATTTATTTCATCGTGCATTCCGTTGCCAATTGAAGGATTATCGCACAATAACACGAGGTATGAAATCAATAAGAAAGATCGCTGATGTTACTCTTTTCGGATCGCGTTTTTGACGTGAGTGGTATTTTCAATTGAAAAGTGACATCGTTTTCACATTTTCTGTAAGACCAAAATACTTTCGTTGAATCATGATGAATACTGTAAAGCAGTTTCTACACCAATTACGGTACTGCCCAAATGCAGTCGTATACAATCCATAATTTAACATCTGTTCTTATATAATTTGAACACTAGCTCCTACAAGTGAATCTTATAATATTTTCGCAATCAATTTTAGCTAGAAACAGGATTCGCATCGCAGACATGCACGCAATAAGTACTATCCTTTAAGAAAATTCTAAAAAAATTGGCAATTGATGAATCTTCAGCAGAGTTTTTATATTTTCCGAAAATTGGCAAAAGCTATCCATGCAATACCAAAATTTTCTCCATGCCAAGTTTTCCATAATTCAACGCCATTTGACCTCTTCTCAATAAGGAATACCAGATTCCTCATCGTGATGCGTTATTTTTTATTTTTTCATACACCGAAAATTCCTTTTTCGGATAAAAAACAATTTCCATGAGGATGATCGATCGATAAGCTCAATTTGATAACCTGTGCTGTATAAATGCAGCGACACAGCAGTTTAAAAATATTTAAGGCTCTGGTTTTGAAAATAAGGTGATTAAAAAAAATACTACTCAAAAATAACTCACAAAAAAGTGCTTGGCCTGCTGCTGCCAGGGAGAAATTTCAAAACCGTATGATAAACCGAAGGACGAAAATGGAACCCAGCAGCAGGGAATGGCTTTGCAATATCAACCATCATTATTAGCGAGAAGAAAAAAAATCCGGACGCGAAGTATGAGTTTTGCTCGTTTTTCTTTCTTTCTAAAACGTCACAAGAATGCAGTACAATAACCACTTGTTTTTCAAGACTTGGAAAAACAATTGTGCACAATAAATATCCGAGAGCAAGACGTGCGAGCAGAAAATCACAAATATTGCGGACGAGGCCTTGACCGTCCGCCTGTCGCGGAACCAATGCTCCAGCAACAGATGCGTACACGGGATTTTAAGTTCGGCTGGCGAAACGCGCAATTCAGCCTGGATTGACGAGGGCCTCGAGCTCCGCAAATTCTCCGCAGGAAAAGAAGCATCAACAAAGATTCACATTTTGCCACCGAAATAAATATACCTTATGAAAATTCAGAAAAAGGGGCAAGACGCAAAAAAATTAATTTTGAAATAAAATAAAATATGAACGCAATAAAATGAAAACGAAAATTACTTCATGCCGAGTATACGTATAATGTTGGGAGGTCTATGGTCAGGGTTTAGTTGGAGCATTGAATGAAGCGCGAAACTGACATATTTGCTGCCAGCTTTTGAGATACTACGCTTTAAACTTTGATCAACATACACTTGACATTTATTATCTTATCATCAGAAAGATTTCGTAACAAGCCTAATTCACTATAATTGATCCAAAAAGTGTCAACTCAAATAGTATCCCATCATCATCAGTTTTGAGATCAATCGATGCATGTTTATATACAGCATGTATTGATTTTTTTAAAATACAGATTAAGAAAATAAGATCATTCATAAATAATGCTTTTTATCTTATCAAGACAAACTTGTTTTAAACTTTCATTGAGAATCCCATCCTCAAAGGAATAATAGCAATAAAATAAACATTTTTGAGACATTTTAATGCCTCCCCTGCTCGTGAAAAAATACATTTCACTATGAAATAACATTTCCTTTTTGTTTTCCTTTCTATACTGAACATCTAGAAGATACGAAAGGCCGTTACAAGTTGCCAGCTGACATAATATACGAGGGTTCTAACAAAAGTTCTCAGAGTCAACCACAAGCCATTGCCGGAGGTGGATGAACATTTTTTTATTGGATTCCTCATCCTTTTTTAGCCTAGGACCAATTTTTTTGTCATCCCTAGACAAAAATGGAAACTGGGAAAAAAAATTGAATGAGTTTTTTCTGGATTTTCATTCCAAGAACTTCTGTTGGAATGGATGGGCACAGCACCAGAAAAAACTCACTCAATTTTTTTTCCCAGTTTCCATTTTTTGTCTAGGGATGAAAAAAAAATGGTTCTAGCTTAAAAAAGGATGAGGAATCCAATAAAAAAATGTTCATCCATCTCCGGTGATGGCTTGTGGTTGACTCTGAGAACTTTTGTTAGAACCCTCGTAATTACGATTACATGCGTTGATGTTTTCTCAGACTGATGGTCATGTTGCATGAAAACTGACACGAGGATGAGAAGGACAGAAAAATACGTAAGATGCAGATGCATGAGAAAGATCTTTGAAACATGTAAGCCATGAGAAACTGAATGTTCCTGGAAGTGGCAGATTGATATGCACTGCTTTTTTTTTGCAAAAGAAGTGTAGTACTGTATGTAGCAGTATTGCTGCATGGGCGTACAGTCTTCCCCAACCTTTTTGGGTCCGCGGACCGGTGATGTGGCTAAATATTTTCGCGGATCGGCAGACAATTTTTCAGACTTGCAACAGACCTGCTGGGGCAGAAATTATTTTCATTTTTTACTGAAAAAAGGTCTAAAATTTACTTTCACTGCACATTCTGTGTACACTCGAACAGGATATATTCTTGCTGATTTTTATTTTTCATTTTATGAAACATAACACCACACTTCTCAACATATTGTTGGTTCTTTACGAACGTCATTGTTCCACCAAAAAATAAATATTTGGATTGAAATCAGTTCCATGTAGTACAATAATTGAGCATTATTATTGCAGAATAAAGCAAGCATGGCCAACTTTTCAAGCGCTCAAAGCTGTCTTTCTGATATGAATCCTGATGAATTTTTTGCGAATTTTCAGACCTGCTGCAAAATAAAATAATTCTGTCAATTTTTTAAAACCAATGCATGCATACACAAGACATATATATATATAAATGAACACGACGGCCCAGAAAAAGTTGTCATAGATGTTCGAACAATATTTGAAAAAATAAAACCCAAAGAATTTGACTTGATTGAAAGTTTGCTTCAAACGCTTTGGAATTGTTTTTATGTGATAATCAGATCGTGATGATGTTTTCATTTTTTCCTCACGAGGTAAATCACGTTAGAAAAGAAGTGCATCACGAGGTATGCGTTCGACGAGGTATGCTGCAATTTTTTTTTTACAAAAACTAGAATCAGACTCTTCGACAGATGATCAAAAAAGAGCTTTTTAAAGTTTAAAATGTCATGTGAGATCCAAGAAACGTATCATCGCAGCATGCTGCACGTCGTTCCAAAATTCTGCATTCTTCGTTGATGAATTAGGTGATCACATTACCATCAGTCAAATACAGAATTCCATCCCCTCCATGCTTGCACAATAAGCTTCAGAAATGAATACACACGAATTAAAAGGCGTGAAAATGTTGTTTTTATTCGGGAATAAGCCCATGATAAACAATCTGGATTTAGAAAATTTACGAAATTTCAAAATATGAATTCAAGTTATTTCGAATAAATTGAGAAATAACTTTCGAACCGCACACACGCGGAACAATACCCGAAAAGAACGATTTCGTATCGAAGGGTCACGTTCACCACACAGGGTTGCCGAATCGTTTGATGACATTACTTTGTGACGTCAAATCCAACTGAACCTTCTTCCTCATGTAGAAAATGGGGCAATCCCGACTGCAAATACAAGACAGTTCAATCAACCCACGCAGACAAGATACGAAAAGAGTCAATCCAATCTTGTAAAGTAAACGTCGATGCTCCAAGAAATAATTCCGAAATTCTGCACGTTGATCGCTTCATACATTTACAAAAAAGTTTCCATGCAGGAAAATGTCTGAAGCTACGGATACTTAGGTGGTGAGGTAAATTACTTGAACCGTATTCATTTTGGTCGGGATATAGTTGAAGAAAATGGTTGTGGAAACTCGAATTGAATAGAGGAATGAAGGACGTTATTTTCTCGAACCAATATCCCTCAGAGACTTTATTCCACACCATAACGGTGTCCCTCGAATTTTTTCACCCTTTCTTAGACCAGAAACAAGTTAGTCAAGATTCGAACACGTTAAATTTGATTAGGATATGTAAGGTTCGATCAGTTCAGGATCAGATGCATTTTTCTCGGGAAGGCTACGTTTTCCGACATTCCGGAAAGCAAGGATATACAGTATATAGAACTTGAAGGATTTAAGATTCGATAATACCCATATCAGCGTGTCGGGAATGTTCGTGATTTAATTCAAGTTTGCGGGATTATGCATGCTTTCCGGGGCACTCACTTGGTGCACAAAACGTCATCGTGCAACGAATCTTGACAGCGTTGACATTCAGCCCAAAGTCTAGAGAATTTTTCCTCCAACTCCGCCATTTTCCTGGTCTCTTTCATGAGCAATAGCGGCTCCTTGCTTCGACAAAAGTCACAGACTGCTTCATTCTCTCGCTTCAGCACAGTTTTACATCCGATACAAGTCGCCTTCCTCGTCGTAAAAGCCGCCAAGGCTCCGACTTTCGAAGTTACCACGGTCTTCGTGCGAGTATGATCGCCCTCTAAAGCAAACGGCAGAAGATTCGAAAAAATTAATTTTTCCGATTGATGGCCACGGAACACTTAAACTCCAAATTTTGGCATTGGAACTCGATTGAATTATCCTGTCGAATTTCAGAATGGAGACAAATCAAAAGGGGGGGGGGGAAGATAATTCTTAACTCACTCAACAGAACCGACCCAGCCTTGTCGCCCAATATTGGTTCGAAAATCCTCATCAAGGGCTTCGACAACTGGTTTTCCAAGTAGTATTGGCAGTCGATTGGAATGTTGTTGTCAAGCACGTACAGAGGATCCTAGAAAAGAAACGTTCACGTTCAATGGACATTTTTATCTCACGAAACGACAGTAAAACTGTACAGTACTGTGATTATGTTTGTTCCCGTAATTTTACAAGAGGTCTTGTAAAATGTCCTCGGCAAAAAAACAGATATTGAAATGACATACAATTGACCCGAAAAACAATTACATTACTTTATTGTTCAGATACTGCAGAAAAATACATTGGCCCAAGAAAAAATGCAAGAAATGAGGCACCATCTCGCAGATTTCTTGGTGTACCCCAGCTTTACCCTCAGATTTCTTGAAATTGACAGAGCATCCATTCAAAGGGATGCCTCCATAGAACGGTGATCAATTCCACCATTTTCATTAACCGCCGCCTTGACAACCGCCACATTCGCATCCCAAAGAAATTACAGAATTCTGAAGGAAAATCTGGGGTACACCAAACCATTCGCAAAATGGATGCTTACGTCTTAATTAAAAACTGATAGCTGCTAGGATACATTTTGCAAACATTTTCTGAAAAATATGTTGAACAGGTCTGCATTTCTTTAAAAATATTGTGCAAAAAAAAGCTTTTTCTGAATGATAATTGTTTTTCAGCACAATCGTATCCCATTTCAATTTCTATTCCTAAAACTTTTGTAAGACCCCTCGTACTTCTTAATTAAGTCATTTCTAATAATCGCACCCACCCAGACAGAAACGAAAAAATAAAAATCGCACAGCATCTGTTACTAAACTTCACGATTGCATCGGAAGTTCAGCAGGGTTCAGAATACTTCTGGCAGGTCCCACACGTGGCGATTCATTGCCGCATTACGTAAGACAGCCTAGGGTATATAATATGTTAATGTACAGGAGAAAAGTTAGCCTTGTAACAGTACAGTACTTCAAACCTCGGATAATACGCACAGAAGAGGAATAAGACATCGCAACGTTTAATGCTGTTGACAATTTAAGAGTAAATTTCTGAAGCAGGAAACATTCGAAAAATATCACCTCGATGATTTATGCAAAGTTGAGGCGGAATGAACCCTTGCAAGCTACTTGATCAATGCTTTTGCACACACATGATGAATCATGAAGGAGATGCAAACCACAAAATAATGCAATCATGGCTACCCATTACATCTAAACGCACGCAAATTTTCTTTTAAGAAATAAAATATTGTGCAGCTGACATATTGGTACAGTGCTTAGATATTCCTTCATTCCCCGCAACTTCCCAGACCTGCCGTAGATTTGGTTCCGAATTCCAATTCAGAAACTTAAATGACATACCTCCGATTTTTCGTAGGCCGCGGTTCCTTTAGATGCTGCGATGATCACGTACGGTACACGATCTCCGAGGTTAGGAGCAGATCCCGCATCACGTTTTCGCATTCTGTGTGCAAGTTCCACGTGTGCTTGCTTACCAGCATATTCCTTATCCGTTTTGGTCAACTCCTTCGTGATAACCAACTGGGAAATATCCACCCTGTTGCACAAAAGGTCACTGATCACCTTCTTCGTGTGTTCCACAGCTCCGTTTGGATCTCTGAGAGAAAAAAAAACGCATTCAACACACACGAATCATTATTTCATCGGTGATTCACGATATTGTAAATCGTATGGAAAACAACATTAACGCAACAAACCTTTCGATCAAAATTTTCTGCAAACATGTGTTGATTAGATTGGCGACCAAAGGGCAATTATCACGCCGAACTGTTTCAATGCCCTTGCAGTCCATCTTATCGTATTTGTCTGGTCTCGTGAAATATAGTCCAGCATATCGCTTCTTGTTGATGAGGAGATACGGGAAGTAAACCTAGTACAAAAATGGTCCGTCAAAAATATCACACATCACGCAATGAATAAAACACGAATACCAAATTCAACCGCATACTGTATAATGATTTCTCCCAAAATTGATTTTCAGGAATACATGTTTTACATAATGGACCACAATACATGGTCTTCTTTAAAAGTTAGCAAAGTCACCTTAAAACTGATCATTAGAGATTAATGAAATCTTCATGTTGCAGTCTCGGTGGTTTTTTTTTTTTTTTTAAACCTGGAAAAATATGCGCCCCAAAGATTTGAGACTCGCGAAAGCAACAAATCAAGAACACGGTTTGAATCTGATCATAACGATCGGTTCTCTTTTCAATGGTCCACGATTTTGGAAATATAGTACGGACACGGAATTATTGGTTTAATTTAAAACTGAAGCGTAAGAAAGATGACTGCTGAAAACCTGAATTCCTCATTCCATTTGAGTCTGAATTTAGTTCATCATTTTTCTCTTTCTGTTCAGCATCTGAAAATTCGTTAACTCGTGAATTACATTTCAGTGATCTTGACGGGATCATTCTTTGGGTTGAGTCAATATCAAAGAGTTACGAAGGGAATGGCTGCCAAGGTTTAAATTTATGGGATAATACTTCCCGGATTACAGTAAAATACTTACTAAATAAAATACTAATGATCTATTCAATTACCAATTCTTAGTTTAACTCACTTTTTCGAATTCGAGTTTAATCGGTTTCACAAATTTTTCCGAAACGCATTCCGCAGCTTCTCTTCCGAGTTCCATGGCTTTTTCAATTGTGGGAGGCCCAAACTTCACCATCACTGAGTCAGTATCACCGTAGATTACCTAGAAGTATAAGAAATTCCTGAAGTGATTGACTCATCTAAAAGCTAATGGTCTGTAAAACCAACCTTGGCGTCGTAATCATAACCATTTTCAATGCGATATTTTGACTCCACTTCCTGCTTAGTCTTCTCAATCATCATTCTTCCAAATGCGGTGACGCTCTGCGAAGTGCATGCAACGCTTCAAATTACAATCACGCATTTTCAAAACTATGATGCCAATTTCACCTGCGAAATTTCAAGACAAGGAAGTTTCCCGTTCTGAGCTCCAGTGAAACCATACACCGAATTTGCAGAAATTTTCAGAGCCAATTGACGCCCATCCAACACCTGCTTCTTGAATGGATCCGTTTCTTTCTTCAAATCTGCTTTCGCCTTTTTCCTAGCGCCCAGTAAACTTTCAAGGATCGCCGGAAGCAAACCTTTCCTTACGCTCGATTTAACAAAGTAATTTTCGGACGGCGTCTTAATATACTGATCCGGAGTCAGCCTGCGAAAAAAGAATTGCAATCGCGGAAATGCTGCAGATTCGTTGTACGGAAGATTATTACAGCAAGAGAGTTTTGAAGTTCTACACGAAAAAAAAAATAAAAAAATCAGCGTTGAATTTTTGGTAGGACAATACTAACCCCAACTTGTGGATTCTGCTCTGATTTAGAAGCGTCGTGTAGCACAAATTATGGGCCATCATGATGGAGGGATACAGCGAGGCAAAATCCAGAGTAGCAATTGGCACATCGTAATATCCGCGCACAGGCTCTATAACGGTTGCTCCGGCAAAATCCTCACCTCCTGCTCCATGATGCACCGGGAGAATCAAATTCTCTTCTTTCGACTGGGGATCAGGAAAATGCACTCAATTATTATTTACAATCATAGAGAGCTGAGACAGGCACAAAACACAACGGAATAATCCCTAGAACACTCTAATCTTATCAGAAAAAAATCAAAATGTTAGAGAAAGGCCAAAAGGAGTTTTCCCACTTCAGCAGGTTGAAACACGGCGGTTTTTTATCCTGATATTTTCATCCGCAAAAAATTCCGGAAACTTACCTTTCTCAACAGCTGTGACAAAACCTTGATCTGCTGACCTCGAGTCAATAAATAACCCAAGGGTACTCCAGTGACACGCGCCATTTCGATGTGATTAATGATCAGCATCAATTTGCCAAGCAATCTCAAGGGCAAGTATGCATCCTTCAGACAATAAACTGCCAACCTGAAACAGCAAAAACATTCGCAAGAGAGTAAAAATATTCAGTTTATCCGGGATTTGCGAGAATCAGAAATTAATTCCGAAACTTGATTTAGAACATCTGCGTGCTTTCAATTTTAAAAATTCGAAGTGAACTTCATATGCTAACGAAAAGGAAACAACTTCAACATAGCATTATTTCACACTGAAATTCGGGACACGTCAGCTATCTCTATTACTTCTAACTCAAGATCGGAGAGCAACTGATAAACTTCAAAATCAGAGAATTCCGAAAAAGCTGGAATGTGAATTCATTCTGTTGCAACCTATGCAAAAATGTCAGTAATGTAATTGGTTGAAGACTAATTTTTCAAGGACTTCGAAGCGGAATGAGATCATGAGTCTTACCTTCTCCTAGTCTGTTCATTGCCATTTTGAAGATCAGTAATGATAGAATGATGCACGTCTTCTTTCTGTTCTTTCAGAAAGTGAAACGATACTGCGTTCAATGTGTAGGACCTCAGCTTGTGTTCCCGCAGTAGAACCTGAAAATTAGTTTATAAAATGTATCTCTCGAATCTCATGTAATTAGAATAACATCTAAATAATTTACCAGTAGAATGTCGAATTGCACCCGACCTTCCGTGTTGATTAGCTTGTTCTCCCTTCTTCCCAGCTGCTTGCTTTGCAAAACATGCTGCCTAACCACGGTTCTAGATAGAATAGGAAAAACACAAGGAGTAATACTGTGCAGGCTAAAGATAGGAAGATTTTTGATTTCAAACAAACATACTTGATGTCTGTGACTCGCCCAAGAAACGGGAAACATCGAGCATTCAAATGATTCGCCCGGGTAATTAGATAATTCAAATCGAAGTTCGCGATATTGTAGCCCGTGATGATGTCAGGATCAACTTCTCTCACGAAATCTGCCCACCGCTACGAAGAAAAAAATTCTTGAAATCAAATAATCCGCTAAATTAGTCACTTCATCTCACACAACCCACGAGAATTTTTACGAGATAAATAATTATTACATGAAAATATCGCGTTTGAATAGTTCAATCATTTAAAAATTACAGAGCCAAAAATAATTTCTTGGAAGGCATTTAATGCATCAAAATTACCCAAAATTAAACCGCAACTGAGATGCTTTTAATTTCAAAGATAAAAACTCACGTCCAACAGCTTAGTTTCCGAGTCGAAGCTGATGACCTGGGAGCCAACAATCGGTGCACATGTGTTCAGAGTAAACACGTTTCGGATGAATGGTTCTTTCTCCCCCTGACGCATTACCATGTTTGCTATCTGGATGACTGGATCTTTGTTTGGCTCCGGAAAAACGCCTGTTGAATACATTATCAAATGTGAATAGGCACTGCTAAGGCTACATTCTTTCTTATCGAGGAATTGCATTGCAAACATTTTCACGCTGAATCTTCATGCATCGGGAAGGAAGCGTAAAAAAATAAACGTAAGATAATTTATCCACTACGCCAAACCAGGGCGAGAACTGAGCAAAAAACAAATTAGGAATGCATTTCTTCCACTTACCTCAAAAACTTGAACCAAATAAAACACTAACAAAAAAAGCGATTACCTGGTCTTCCAGCGCATTCGATATCGAAGCTCAAGATTCGAAAAGGGGCAATAGCTGACCAGTCTCCATCTGGTTCATGGGCGATGAAATCTATCCATGCGACGTCCACTTCAATTTGGCACCGAGAAACTGCCTTCGGGACTTGCGTTCTATTCCTGATGGAATACTTTCCCGACGGCAGTTCAATCCAACTGCATCCAACGACTCCGGTGTCGACCATGAACCTGAAGGGAACGGGAAGAAACGGCTTCTTGAACTGGGAACAAAATAGATCCTTTTTTCATTTCAGATACTGTATTTAAAAAAAATCGACGATCGTTACCAAGCAGGAATTATGTCAGAAACTGACTACCAAACGCCACTGTGATTAATTCAAGCAAAATATACGAAAAATAAATGCTGCGAACGAGTCAAGAAATGAAAACTCCTCCAAATAAACATGGAACATTCAAACAAAAAACAGCACTCATAATTTTACAGTTATCCTTTACCTGCAACCAATCGAATAGATATTATCAGACAACAAACAATTTGAACGAACATCAAAATGAGACCATACAATTCATTAAAACAAACCTGATTTCATAATCAATATTGCTCTCGTAGGCGATGAAAGTGTGGTCATTAAAACCGGGAATAACTACGCTTCCTTGCTCCAGCAATCGCTTTCCAGCTGCAATTAATCTGGGCTGAGACAAAACGATTTTCAAAAAATGCGACTTCGTATTTCCTTGAAACCCGAAGATCGATTCCTTCATAACAATGTCGACCTCCAACACAGGGTCCGTGACATCCTTGTTCCCCCGCATGTCATTCACGATGGCAGTGTTCAAGAGTTTCTGGAACAAAGAAAGGTAGTCAATATAATTTAAAGGAAGAGGACCGCAAAAGATACTGATTTGTCTCATTATAAAATTTAAAACGAATAGCCTTGTTCATGCGAATACAGTATAATGTACGACGAAATCGATTTCAACGCGCAATTCTAGTATTTTTTCATCTCTAGAAGTTTGAAAAATATTTTCAAGCGAATGCAAGATACGATCACTACTTGGGAAAAAATTGCTCAATATGACCAAGAACACTGCAAATTGCATTCAGAAAACAGCAAACGAAAGCAGTTATTTTGTTTCGAATAAAATTATCTCTAAAGCTCGGAAATAATATTACTCACATGTAACTTTCAAAAACGCTCTCCGAAGAATAAAGTTACTATTGTGGAGACTCGACATCGACAGTCTTCTGTAAAATATGTATTTAGGGTACTTCTTCAAACTTCTACAAAGCGGTAAAATGATGTTCAAAGCGTTCGTGGGAAAGTTATCCTTCACAAGAGCTCAAAATATAAGATCAGCTCCGAAAATTCGAAGATGCGCCCTGTTTCAAGGGCGCATCTAGTCCTGAAAAAGCAAACAAGGCAAGATAAGCAATAATTCGGGAATTGAATTCACCAATAGCGTGGCGCATTTATCCTGAGGAAAATCTTGGGGAGCAGTGACATAAAAATACGGAGCAAACCCGTGTATGTGACAGCAAACAGAATTTCCAGCTTTCGTCACACCGAACATCCTGAAGATCGGCACTTTTCCCGATTGAGCACCTGGCATTCCTGGGAGTGTTTCACCTACAACATCGAATATCATACCCTCACACCCATGAACTCTGACTGAGGTATATTTTATTTTCTTACGAGTTGAATTCACGATCCATTCCACCACCGGATGCATAGTCAACATGCAAAAACCAAATCCAGAGTTAAACCTCTTCAATTAAAAGACAGCGAGATCAGCTTACCGTTTCAAAAGAAATCCACGAAACAAATTGAGCCCATCACCAACGGCTTAGAAAGAAGTCAGAGAAGCAATAGATTCGAATTAGGAGTTGAAAGATACGAAGTTTTCCAGGAGAAGAACATGCATAACAGAACGCACCAATGTAATGATCGGAATCTATTTGTTGGAATACAAGCGGCTCCGAGGTGGGATCCATTGACTTTACGGCGGGTCTACTCCATGCAACACTTGTTTGAACAGTCTCCGGTCCCTAAAATCGGAGACAAGCACAAAAACTCGTCAAGTAAATACAGTACATTGAATTTTCCTTCTCTAGATATGGAATGATTCGACGAGTCTCGGTCCACCCTCGCTCGATTTTAACACTAACTTCCCCAGTGGGAGCTTCCTCCATAAGCTCGTCGTGTAGCGATGCAAGAATATTTGCGTCCATGTCCCAGTCATCATCATCATCTCCAAAATCATTCTTTCTGTGAAATGAAGCAGCTCGAAATGAACAACTGCAAGTTCACCTAACGGCCATCAGGGCACTAACCTGGGAATCTTGGTCTCGGCAGCATTCCCAGAGCCCGAAGGAAGTTTCCTCTTATGATCCATGGCCAAAATCGTGATCACCTGAAGCTATTTTCAAGCTGTTACTTTCGACATCAGAATTTCTGACAGAAGAACAGAAACAAACGCCGTTTTAGCACAAAAATCATAGCAAATTCCAATCCGTTCATATTCAACCAAGCCGAAGGACCTTCCACTAGAGAAAAAGCGCTAAGAATACGTTTGTGAGAGATTGAATGAATGTGATACGTTAAAATACATCAATGTATACTCAAAAATCAATTTCCTAGATTTTCCAAGAATTCAAAATGAAAATTTCAGATGATGTTTCATAAGTTCATCGACATTTAGCAGGTTTGTTACAGGTCAGGTACAGTAAAACTGTACACGCGGTCTCAGAAAATGTGTTGTGTATCACTGCAAAATGATAAATCATGGAATGCAAAAATGGCTATAAATTCTGAAACTAAGAAAAGATTACGCATGAGATTCCGTGGAGGAAAATCTTTCTAGATTGGCGGCCAAAGAAAAAATGCGTCATTCGTAACAACTTATATTTCTCTCGTTCTATCCACTTCCCACTTGTATCCGGCGAAAAAAAAGTTAATTAAAAAAGATACAAGCATTACAAACGGTAAAACACCTCTTATCGTCGTTGATCCGCAAGGAAAATATGGAACGACTGCCTGATACAGGAAAAAATATGGAAGACGAAAGGACAAGCACCATGGGCAAAAATGACAATATTTCCGCAGGTAAAACACTTTTCACGGTCTCCTCGACTAGAAATAAAATGCAACCTGAAGCACGTCAAGACATAAAGAAACACTGTTCATACGAATATCCCTTTGAGCATAATCATTCTTTCATCACATACAAAGCAAGTTCCGTTAGCTTCTCGCATCCCGTTGCAGATCTTCAGCTTCCACCTCAAAGAGAAAAACGCGCGTGGAGATAGTGAATATTCATGGAATCCCGTAAAATGTGACGGGGCAAGCAGACATTACGTTTAACATCCCCAGCTTCGTAAAATTTATTCGCGTTAATCCTTAAAGTAACCCTCAATTTCTACTACTGGAACGAAAAATTATGCTCAAAATTGCAATGGGCCAGAAAAATACGATTTCAACACAGGATCAACGCCGTGAACGATGAATGTCAACCAAATTCCCATAACTCATACGAACTTCCAAAAATTTTCAAAAACCTCCACACACCTGCTCTTAACAATAAAGGCACTCATTTCTTTGACTCTACAGTAGACAAAAGACGAAGAGATCGTTTGCAAAAGGCTTGGTCCACTGTCGATCCTGTCTCGAACATATGGAATTTTAAACGAAACCCCCTGGCGAGGCACTCGCGGGAAATAAAAAAAAAGCACATGGCAGCTGTTCCGAACATCGCTTACAACCGCTTGGATAACTTCAAACACAGAACGAATTTTTCTTTTTAACGCAAGATCAAGATCTTCAGGCTCTCCCTGGAACAGTCAGTTCTCAAAGATTTATTGTCCTTAACGAAAATGTGCGAAGTACAGTAAACGATTTCTTGATTCCCCGTGAAGTCTGAAAAGAACAATACAGTTCTCTATTCTCACCACATAAAATCAGATACTTTTCATCACTCGTTGCGAAGTGAGTCGTCATACATGTCACAGATACTATCCTGGAATCCCATAACAAGACCCTTGATCATCACGTTTGTCTCATGGCAATGGGACAATCAATGTCAATTTCTACATGCTGAACGTTTACAAAGATTATGAACAGAAAGTCTTGAAACATTCTTCGTCGACTACGATGCGAGACATCAAGAGAACTCACCGTTCCAGAAGAATCGACTTACTTCCATTCGCTTTTTACTTTTTTGTTCCCACAGCTCGGGTAAGGAAATGCTCACGAAGAACGCAACGATTCACTCACGAAATGCGACAGCACAGATAATTCGACTTGTCTTTCGGCACCGAGAAATTCATTTCGCGGACGATCTCGACAAATACGTCGTTGACGTTTTGTCGACTTTTCGCCGATGCTTCGACGAAGGGACATCCCCATTGTTGAGCAAGTGCAACGCCTTCCACCGGCTGGACTTCACGCAGCGCGTCCATATCCTTCTTGTTACCCACAAGCAGGATGGGCACACGATCAGTACCTTTGACTCGAGTAATTTGGTCTCGCATGGACTTTATATCCATGAACGTTTGATGATTGGTGATTGAATAAACGACGATGAATCCTTGGCCGTTTTTTATGTAAAGATCACGCATGCTAGCGAATTGTTCAGTTCCGGCAGTGTCCAGTATTTCAAGAACACATGGCGAGCTATCAACTTCAATTTCTTTGCGGTAGAAATCTTCAATGGTAGGATCATATTTTTCCATGAAGCACCCTGATACGAACTGAACCGTCAAGGCGCTCTTGCCGACACCTCCGGAACCAAGGACGACCACTTTGAACTCCTTCATGATGGAACCAAAAGACACTAAAGTTCGTCCGTTTCAATCATGTGTACAGGGCATCATCAACATCTGAAACAAAGAAATGGCATCACTATAAAGACTTCGGCAGTAGGAAAGCGTTCAAAAATTCAATACATCTTCGGATTGAAATTATGACTGCACGTCTGTAAAACAGCTTCAAAATTTTCGACACTCACACCAGTTACACACTAAGACTCTTGGTAGAATGCAATTTTTATTCTGATCACACTTCCAACAAATCTGCTCCGGGGAAAAATTCCATTCTATTAAAAGCAGAAGTAACCACATGGTTCATAGTCAAGCAGACACTAGCTAACGCGAAAAGAAAGTTGGGAGATTTGGACAAACTTGATTCCCGTACAGTCGAACCCAAAACTTGGAAGATGGAACATAGCAGAATTTCAGCATGAATTTACTATAATTCATATATTGAACAGTACATATGCAAGCAGTACAATACATATTGCATGGTATACAGAGTACAGTGCAGTGTGTCCCACAAAAAAGATCATTCCCGCGGCTTTCTTCTGCTATTTGAAAATAGCAGAATTGTTTTGTGGGTCCCAAACTTCCTTGAGGTTCCATCAAGAAAAAACTAATAGGTAATTCCAGACAAACCAAAACAACGAATATCACAGACGACCCACAAAAATGTTATTGATCTGACAATTTATAAAGACTGTGTCGAATTTAAAAACAGTGTTTCAGCAATAATTATCTTCAAATTATTTTTCTACTCACAAATATCCTATAAGAATTGACGGTTTTGGCGGCAGACGTTTACGCTAAAATCATCCATGGCTCATTTTCGCCAGTTTATTATTCAGAGATGGGACAAAAACATGAGCAATTAGGTTAAAATATTTCCTCAAGACGCATCCAAGTTTTGTCCAATCGGACTTGAAGATTCAAATGTTTACAGTTGGAAGTTGCGGGAATTCAAGCATTTTTTCACGAAAAATTCGTCATGTTAAAAAGATTTCCTTTGCGATTCTTAAGTCAGTATTTTTTTATTCTGCATATATATAGCAATGTCGTATTGCAGATTTTTTGTTAATCAAGGGATTCGTTATATGTAGGGACCCATAAGCAGCTTTACAGTATAAAAAATAAAATATTAAATAATAAGTTCTACAAGGTTCACGCGGATTCACCGAGATTTCCAAAATTGGTCAAGTATATGATGTCTCCAATATCTCCGTCGAGAGCAAATGAAAACAAAATCTAAAACATGATAACGGCCATATTTAAAAGTGAAAAAAATTAGATAACAACTGCTGCATGAGAAAAGCAGCACCTGGTCTGAATATAGACAGCGAATTTTCCATATTTACGCAATTCAAAAAATTTGATGATCGACTACTCCGACTTACGATAAATGATAGCTACAGCGACTTCCGGACGTGTAGTTCGCATATAGATTGTCTTTCATCAAGACATGATTTGGAAAATCGCGTTAGCTGTTTTTCTTCTGATTTCCAATAACGGTTGCAATGCAAGAAATAATTTGTTTTTGCACGGCGGAAACGTAAATGACGATGATCACCCGGTGCTACGAAGATTCGTCGACGCAGCTGTGAGTTAATTGAGCTATTTATTTTTCAATAGAATTCTAAAATGATACTGTACCTTATTTACTTCGGTAATTTTTTCTTTTATATTCAGGGCGGAATAGGAGAGGCGCGCATTGCTGTAATAACCATGGCGTCTGAAATGGCAGTTGAAAACGGGGAATTTTACACTGTGAGTGGCTCTATATATTCGACAGCATAAATTGCTTTACAGTATATATACAGGGTCGAATATTGCTGAAATATGCATCGTTTCTGCACAGCAAATGTTTCTGGAAATCGGTGCAGCAGATGCAACTTGGATTCCCATCACAATGGACAACAGCGCGGATTTGGCGGATGATCCCGAAATTGCTGCCATGATCAGATCCAACACCGGCGTATTTTTCGGTGGCGGTGATCAAGGAAGAATCATAAACGGCATCATCCACCCTGATGGTTCAGGTACGAATTTTACTGACAATAAAAGAATTAACAAACTAGATATATACTGTACTGTACAGTACTGTATAAGTACTGTAATTCAGTTACTGTAAATAAGAACTCGGATTATCCGGGACTGGAAGACTTTTTCAGGATATCGAATCAGGCAATTTTAGGCTGGACTCTTGCGGGAGAAAATTTTTTAAAGAAAAACAGTAAATACTGTATGTTGAAGTTGGAGTCTCTCCACAACAATCTATTGTCTCCAACGATTTTCTCTGCTGCGAAACGTTTTTTGTGGTTCTTTCCTCATGCTAAATACAAGGGTTCTCCACAATGACGAAATTCCCTTTTAAAAAGTTTTTCTGGTACCTTGAATTTCGATTTTATAGAGAGTCTACCGGTGTATACGTATTCACATTTGCATTCAACCAAAGGAGTCCGTTAGTCTGAAAATGTATTAATTTTGAATGAAAATGGAGTATTGTATAGCTCATCCTCAGGCGAAAATTAATACAGGCCGTTTTTCCCCCTCAATGAATTTAAATTTCTGTCATGGGCTCTGCTGGTCAAACAGTATTCTGCTAGTACACATACATACTGTTATAATAATTTAACTTTTCTTGACCAGAATTTTGGTTGCAGAAGTCATGCGATTTCTATACAAGACATGATGTACAGTATTTGCAATAACATTAGGTCACCCGGACAGTTTATATACTATGCATTAAACATTTACTGACGCCCTTTTTTCATAAAATGTTCGCATGATGCGTCTTACATAAATATTGTATAATCGATAGCTTTGCGCCTTAGATTTAATAGCCGTTTTACATTCAATGGCGTCTGCTGTATGACACATTATACGCATAGCTTTGAATGCGGAGGGTTTGTTTCAAACCAGCATAAACTTTCACACAAACAGGATTTTCAAATGCATTATAATTCTGCTGTTTTTATGTTTAAAAAAAATCCTCAATGAAACATTTTGTGAATGAAAACTATGCTAAATATCCTTTGGGAATACATAATAAGGCAGACATTGGATCATCCATGAAAAATCAACTTGATCCCTGCATATGTATACAGTATATGCCTTTTGCTAGTACAATATGTGTATACTGGAGCATCGTTCGAAGACTTGTCTTTTTTGTCTATTCTATCGTTAGATTTTCGTCAGATAAAATTCACAAACGAATGTTTTACTCAAGCGAATTCCTAATAAAATTTCAGTAGAAGCTGTCAAACTCGATACTTTAAATACATTATTACAATGCAAAAAGTTTCCTTTTATATTAAACTATGAAATAATTTGTTCATTATATGTATAACAAATGTTAATTTCTAGAAATTTATTTCTATATACTGTAATCGAAGTTTCCCCCGCTTAACTACCATTTGCAAGGATGATACACGCACTGAAAATTTTCACTTTTTGTCCGCAAATACAGTTTTAATATCATTTTATTACAATATATTATCCTGTTTAATAATTTTCATCTGCTCTCATATGCAACAAAATGTAGAACTTTTGCTTACAGGACTTGCACTTTTTGAAAATATAACTTTGGTGCTTTTTATGCTGCTTCGTCTGATAAACTACATTATTTTTTAAAATCCGAAATCTTATTTAAGCTTGAGAAAAAACATTGCTTGCAGAGTTCATTTTTTTCCTTTCCTTCTACAGTATTAAATTTTTTCCTCTTATTTAGTTATTTTTTCCTTTCCTTGCAGAGAACCCAGATTATAACGAATTTTTCATTGGCATTACGATTTTTTTGTGTTGCACCCTCGCATTCGTATATTATATATTAACGGAATTCTTCCCCTCAAAATATAATAACGTTTTCTTCATATATGACCTCACCCAGATACCTTAGTGCTTATATTTTATTAACGGAATTCTTCCCTTCAAAATATAATAAATAACGTGTTCTTCATATATGACCTCACCCAGATACCTTAGTGTTCGAGGCAATCCGAGACGTGTTCGCGATCGGGGCAGTCGGTGGGACGAGTGCAGGAACGGCGTGTCAAAGCGACGGATTCGCCATCGCCGGTGGACGAAGCTACGAGGCCTGGGCAAACCCGGTTTGCACTTCCAATGACTGCGGCAACACTGATGACTTGTCCTATTACCCGTCGGGCCTTGGGTTCGCCTACAAGATCATCACTGACTCGCACTTCGGGGAGCGGGTACGCGAAGGCCGGCTCATGAAGTTGATGTTCGAAGCCAGGAATCCCCAGCTCTATGGCATCGGGGTCGACGAAAGCACTGCTCTTCTGATCTGGGACGTGGGTTCAGACAACGAAACGATTGAGGCGAGTTATCAATTTACAGTAGAAAAAAATGGATCAACAAGTACCAATAAATCGAAAATCTTCGAAACATTACACGTCAAAATCGAACGGGGAAATCCCGCTTCGCCCATGCGTATACATCCACGACTGCCATTAGAAAGCTTCATTAAGATTTCGTCGTAAATACCGTATTTTATCGATTACCAGCAGCAGCACGCAAGAATTTTTGTTTTCAAAAACAGGGGCAAAAAATAAGGTACGCGTCATAGTCGGGTAAACATTTTCTAATGAATTTTTTGAACTTTAAACTTTTTCCCCACTTGAAAATTTTTCGAAAGTTCTTTTTTTAATTATGCTTTGCTTTGCGTAATAAATGACCGTAATATTGAAATAAGCATCTAAGTGGGCTTCGATTTACTTTTTTTTCTTACCTCAAGTATTTTTTCAAATACCCCATGAATTATGTGAACTGAAGACGAAGGTGCGCGTCATACTCGAGAGGGCTTGTGGTACTCGAGTAAATACGGGTAAATTAAAATGCTGCAATATTGTGTCTATTATATGGACCTGTATGAACACGAATAATTCTTCGGGAGAGTATAAGAGTGCATTAATTCCTTGCAACGAGCGTTTACTGCGTAAGACTGCAGCAAATAGACGTGAGGATTGCTCATGGAAGAAGGGCACGCAGTAGGTAAGAAAGGATTGAATTTACAACAGTAAGATGACTATATATACCCTGATAAACCAATTTTTTCAAGTCTTACGAACAAGAATTCACGTATCGTACATATCATATCGAATTTATCTTTCTTTTTCAATTAATGGCAGTATGGGGTGGACTGCAAAATTTTTGAGAATCCGATCATCTCTTTATTATTTTGCCTGTATTTCCTGGGTTTCACTCCCACCAAATGTAGACTTTAAAGCCCTTTCTCCGTTACTTTATGCTCTTTCAGTGTGATCAGTATTCTTCAGACATTACAGAGGACTCCGCTCCAAAATTCCGAGTCGTAAATCATATACTGCACAGTAATCCAATTGAAGCTTACAGCAGGGACAAGCTTTTGCACATCCGGGCCGGGTTGAAAAATTGATAATGAATTGCGACTACGACCATGCTGTAATTACTTTATTGAGATAAATTCAGGAAACAAAAATTATCTCGCAGGGAAAGACCAGTTTCTCATTTTTATTTTTGAGAATCTTCGTCATTTTAGGATGATATGAATTTTTCCTACAACACTTTCTCAACTTTATGAAGGCAGCTTGTTACAGGTATTCAATTTTTTTAAATTTGGCCAGCAGCTTAAAATGCTTTAAATTTTAAATACATTCACGCATTTATTGCTTCCAACATATTATTAACCAAATTTTTCGTCATTGCCATTTTCACGGTTTACAGTAAAAGTTTAGCAAGAACAGGGTGTGGCTCGTATATACTGAACACACGAGTACAACTCCCTATAGCCTACCCTGCAGTACCTATACTATGGCCGATGAATGCAGAAATTAAAAAAAACGCGTCTCTTACAAAAAAAGGGTTAATTTTATCTTAGCAATTTCAGTCCTTTCGTTTTCACCGTCAATTGATTCAGAACTCGTATTAGAAAGCGAATAATTCAGCTACAATTTAATAAAGAAAACAAATGTTTATCAAGGTGGAGTGGATTAAATCGCTTTTCGTTTAAATCAATTAATCAGGTGGTGGGAACCGCCGGGGGTGTCACTATCATCGACAACTTCGCAGCTGATTACGACCCAATCGCTCCTTCGGCTGCTGGAGTTCGTTTCACCTACCTGACCGAGGGAGATACAGCGAGCCTCGTTACGGGTAACTTAGCATATACGTAGATCGTTCGATCGAGCTTCATATCACTCAGGGTAAAAGTAAGCTGGAAGTCCACGAAGTATGGATACAGATACGTTTAACGTTATCCGATTAAATTTTGAGAGAAATCTAGCCAAAAACGAATTTTAGAGACTTCCCATCGAAACGTTTCATTAAGAAAGAATTCTTCGCAATGAAAGTACTTCTATGAAGAAAGAAAAGTTTCGAAAGTAGGTTTTTTTCGCACTGCGGTCTGATGATGTCCGACAGACAAATTCAAAGAGTCAATTCGCGGAACTGAAGTTCGAAAACTAGTTAGGCGCGCACATGTTTCATTATTACTATAAACAAGTAAAAATACGTTACATTACTCGTATTCTCAGAAATATCCGAGTGAATCAGCTCGAAACATACAACTTCGTGCAACAGAAGATGACGCACCGATCAATTCGAAAAAGTTGAGTGCTTCATGCAAGGCGTGAGAAGAAATAAAAATAGAGCGAACAAAAATTAGTAGAGGCGGCCTCTGGAGTTCAAGTTAAGACATGGCTAATGCAAGAAAGGCCAGGATACTCTGAGTTCCATATGATTGAAGGACAAAAACTTCGGATTAACAATTTTTCATGAGACGTGCCGATTTGTTTTATGGAAATCGAAGCTCACTGTGCATAACCTATTCTGCATTCAGGCAACATTGAAATCGCGTCTTGGAAAACGAATTTAGCCGGACAGGAACTCCACGATACTGCCCTGGAAAGTAACGACATTTTTAGCGAATCTAGCGGAACTCCAGGAGGCGAATTCCGCTACGTGGCGACGCAACTCTTCGATTCGAAGTGAGATTTAAAAAAAAGAAAAAGCCGGTTTTACAAGCACGTCCTGGGCTCTCACCAGTAGAGCAAGGAATTTGAATATAACCATGCAGTGAGGAAATTTGCGCGTGTATCCTTAGGGTCCGAAGCAGCACCAGCGTCACTCACACCAAGAAACCACAATTCGAGGTCATCATGATCAAAGATGCCAATTCAGCGGGCTTCGGAGGATATTCTCCAACCACGTCTGAATTCGTAATTTCCTACGCGAACCTTCGAGTGGACATTAGCGCAATCTAATGAGGACTTGAAGGAAGATGAAAAAAGCTAGCATCAGTATTCCGAGGAACGCATTTGCGATTAAAAATGTATTTAAAAAAAAAAGCCTCAAACGTCACTGTTTTCTTCAACACGAGAAAACACAACATGGAAAAATGACTTCACTGCGAATAGGCCAAATTGCATGCCTTACACACAACCGTTATACAAATATAAAGGGGGCATTGACCAACCAATCTGATACGTTCGGACGGCCGGTTTGTCAAAATACCTGGTCAACAGCCAAAAATCGGAGATAAAATGCAAGGTAAATGTCGAAAAAAACAATTAAATGAAAATCGAAATTCGGTGGGATGCAGCAAAAACAAAACAGAGATCCGAAAGCATCACTTCGAATAAAATTTGACAATACCCATGAGACTACAAAACAACCGGTGCAGTAAAGTCGAATTCATCGATGTGCAATTCTTCACATCCTGTCCTATGAGGTATCCTGCGGGAATGTAGAGCAGACTGGAATACTCGCCACCGCTTTCAGTCTGAAATGAGGTCAAAATTAATTACAGTATGGTATCACATGTGCAAAACGCAGCAAAATCGTTACAACACTTCAATCGATGAAATTATTCAACCATTGCATATTTCAGGATTGCACAACAAAAAGGTTAAAATATTTTTCTTCGTTACATATTGCCGCTAGGAATGTAAAGCCACTATCTCCCATTCCCCGCACATTTCTGGCATGAATAAGATGTATCAATAAAAGCTACTACTGAAATGGATGGAGGAAACATTTAAATACTGTATGTTCACACAATTCAACATTTTGTACATGATCTGAACTTGTCGACATCAGACAGGGAGAAGCTTTAGGAAAATCTGGGGAAACAATATTTTTCGAAGTACTTTCTTCGAACGGGTTTGGCGGTCTAATCCATGAAAATACAGAAAGGTAATAAAATACTGTAAAACCTGAAAAATGAACGCACAGAATCGTACGTTCAAATCCGATTCTGGAACATTCAGGATTTTTTTAATGTTACGAAATCTGATCACTCAACGCATGAACATAGAAAATACTGCGCTTTATGTTGAGAAATAAATTGCTGTGTCATTGCAAGATTGCAACCGAATTAATGAGGATCGCAACCGAAATTAGTTCTCGTTCAAATATAAAAATCTGACGGAGTCCTGTCGAATGATATAAAGCACTCACTTCAGTTCCAGATACTTTTGCCTCACAGCCTGTTGATCGTGCGTTGGTGCTTTCGTCCAAATGATTTTGATCGTTGACATACAAGGCATCAGATCCGCAAACTTGTAATTCGTCGTCTATTCAACAATGGGGAGAACGGATGAGATTATATGCCGGCAAGAAACCGAAGAAATAAATTCCAGTGTACCTTTCTAAACATGTCTTTCCACAGCTCGCCAACCATCAACGTGTGAGCCGCAAGGGCAACTGAAGCAGCAGCCTGAACCGATGGCAGATAGTTGAGGATATCTCCTCCCTCCATCATTGCCAACTCCAACAAATACTGAAATAGTTGAGATTTATACGCAAAGTCGGATTAAACGCATGTCCAAGCGCAAAAAGTGACGTTCTTTCGTCAATTCAACACTTTCGAGTTGAATTAACAAATATCCAAGTTTCACCTACATTTACTAAAATACAAAACGTTCCTTTATTCTTGAAATTTTGAAGGAGGAAAAGAGTATGCGACACAGGTGGATTAAAAAGTATAATAAACGCCTACTTCAAAAATAAAATCGTTAGCATTCCGATAATATTGGGATGCTTAAAACACCAGCGGATGAACAACCTCCGACAACAAATCTTACCGAAGAGAGATTTCGAACAGTCTCAGGAGCCTCTATGTCCAAAACGAACTTCGCAAAAAACGTGTGAGGTGTCACACATGTCATCCTATAATCTAGAGCTATCAATATGAATGTTTCCATCTTGAGCAGCTGCTCCTTGCTGTAGGTATTGTCCGTAATGAAGACGAACTCTTCACTTTCCGGCGGGTAGATTTCTTCCACTTTCGCAGCGATGAACATGGCCGTTGTGCCCAGCAACTGGAGCTTCGACCGGAAAATTTTGTTGTAGGACAAGAATCGGTCAATGTAGGAAACAGCCATGAACAAACATGCATCAGACAGCTTGTATTCAATAGCAACTTCAACAAGCCAGTCGACCAACATTGAGCGCATGTGAGGAGCCAAATCAGGTTGCTGATGCATGTACATTGGGCGTGGACGGAAGTTTTTCTAAAAAGGACGAAAAACTCAGAACATAGACAATCGAGATACACAGAAAACTGAATTTTTTCAATTAATCAAAATTGACAAATGCAAAGAAAAAAATGCACGCTGGGAGGAAAGTTCGGAACAAGCCTCCACATTTTTATGAAAATAAAAACAGGATGTTCGTATTTGGAGGCACGTTCTTAAGAAAATTAGATGAAGAACAATCAATCCTATTTCCAATACGGTAGTTCAAAAGTGAAATAAAATACCCGTATATGCACCAATAAATGCCCCAGCGTTTATTTGCAATTTCCAATTTTCCTCCCAGTTTTCTATAGAGACCAGTGATTAATGCTGAAAAAAATTCTGAATAGAAAAAGATTTCTTCATTTGTTGCTTAAGACGCAGGGGTGAAGTAAGGGTCAAATTGTGGAAAGGATTAATATCGTTGAGAAAATTCCAAGAATTTTTGCAATCTTCGTGCACAACTGATACGTTGAATCTTGTGAACGAAAACGCGACCATTTCCACGAATACAAACCTCTTGTTCGGTGAGATATTTGAAGATGTCCTCAGCATACTCCTTCAACTTGCACATTTCATCTTCCTGCTGCTTATGCAATGAAATGCGGCTCTTATCCATAGACGGTCTTGGTAGAGCAAAGCAGTTGGTTGGTAACCCATCAATGCTGTCAGCAGAATCTTGAGTGGACGGCGGAGAAACTTCCTCATCACCAAGAACATTGAAAGTGGGAACAGTCGTTTCATTCTCTTTATCTTCCTCGGAATCTTTCTCGTGGCTTGATGTTGACGGCCGACGGATTGAGGGTTTCTTCTTTCCAGATATGTCCAATTCGCCAAATGGGACTTGAATGAGCTTCTTCGACGGAACACCAGCCGAGGACAATTCGATGCCTTTCATTTGCGATGATATTCCGCATGTTGAACTTCCGCGATCGATTTCGGAGATGAGAGAGTCTGCCGGAGTGTTCTCCGCGGACACAGACAACGGCTTCGGGGAGTCGTCATAAAATGCGAATTCGTCTGGAGGAGGAATCACGACTGGTTTGCCTTTGCGATTTGGCTTCTGCGGCGGAACGTTACTGCCTTGCGTTGGCTTAAAACTCAGCCCCGCCACTTGCGAAGGTCGCAGACTCAGACCAGCATTCTTAGTCTTCGGAAATGCTCCAGTTGCTTTGTCCGATTTCGCAGTAATTGTCATATTTTCCTTATGCTCCACAACCTTCCCCGATTGTTTCGCTTCATTTATTTTCTTTGGTTTGTGCACATCCACCTCAGAGTCGTAGTAAATGGAGAACTTCGGTTCGGCGGCTCGGACTTCATTACGAACCGATAAAATTGATCTGCCATTCCCATTTAGATTGGCTTTTATTTGAATCTCTTGAATTGGCAGGATATTCGTTTTTTCCTTGCCGAACTTCCTACTGTTCGCATTTCCAAACATGATGATTGTGGCTTTAAATGCCGAACTAAAGGCAGGAAAACTACTATGTCATTCACAAAACTCCAAATAATTGTCATGGGTGGTCCATATTCACAATCCTGTTCAGAAAAATTCGAGACTGAAAAATCAAGCCGGATTAGGTAAGTATAAGGAGAATCAAGAAATCTGAACAGAAAACCTTCTTTCCAACGGAGCAATGAATCTATTCGCAGAAACTTAGAAACAAACCCAACGTAGGTTCGCGCAGAAAATTCAATAATCCAGATCACTCGATATATATCAATAGGATAAATCACATCCAAGTATTGCTGGAGCTTGAATGAACAAATCGTACCCGATACACACCAGAAACACTCCGGAGTCATCCAACATTCTGATGGCGGAAGACCGTTGGCAATATCTCTGGCAAAGGGTACCGGTCCATGGTAATGGATAAACGCACCTGCTACCGATCTTGAATCGGTTCGAAAATAATGCCTAAGCACAGGTAGGAGTCTGTAGATAATTACCGCGATGTTTGTAGCTATCCTATTCGGAGAAAGTGAGACTACAATAGATATACCGATATCTCACTGTTCGAAACTGATGATATCGTCGGTTTGTCGAATAACGACGATCACACAGTGAAATACTTACATGATGAACTTCAGGCATTATTTAAAAAATTTGAGTCCCAAATTACAAGAACGAAAATTTTTAATTCGCCTCTACGTCTCCCAACTCTACTTGCACTTCATCATCACGCAATGCGGCAACGAAGAGCCTCGCACATGAACTTGCAACAACGATCAAGGTGGATATCTCACGAACGCGCACATCCAGGACCGAATTTAGATGAGATTTCCCTCAAATGTTCTTGAATTCCGATCCCAAGTGTCAAATTGACAACTGATGCCCGCACATCAAGATTTCAAATTGCTGCCAAAACTCGCCGGTGACTTACAGTGTTGTCATAAAATTGGTCCCGGGAGATTAGAGGGGTAGAAAGCTAAACGAGCGACATCTAGATAGAACAAAGGGAACTCGAAACAAAGCTCAGAACCAACGCGCGAACTCTGGTTCGAAACACCATAAAGCTTCAATATCATTTTGTTGAGAAACCTGCTATGGCGGTTCCAAGACACCGTCGAACCCGAATTCGTACCAAGAAGAAGATCAGTACCTATACTGTACTGTACCTTATTCCAATATACTGTTGAACCAAACAATCCTGTCCCCTTCAGGACCTAGCGAACGCCTCGCTGGAGTCAGGATGCGTACAATATACAGCTGCTAGCTAGGTGAAGCCGCCTCCAGCTGGCTGGAACGTCGTCGTTCACTGCGGACGAGAAGTCCACTCACGGGACGATGCAACCCCCTCTATATGTAGTCATAACCTCTGGATATTCCAGATTTCGGTCACGCTATGTTCACCATATGAATGTCTATGTTCACAGCTCTAAAGAAAATGACAAGGATGCAGTGAAGCGTACATACAGTATATCTATACAGTACTTTTAACATAGAATTTCGCATTTGATCCAGCAGCTCACGCTTCCTCCCCTTCTGCAAGAAGACCATCACGCGTGAAATGCGTATTTTAAGGTCAATGAAATTTATTTGGACGATAAAATGGTCGTTTCAAACGCGTTTCCACACCGAATTCCTCTTGAAGAAAGATTTTTTTTTAAACTCCTCCGAAACTTTTCTGAACTTTTGCAAAAAATTTCCAAGTTCGAATGAAAAACGACGGAAGGGGCAATTTTATTCGAACATTTGCAATAAATCGTCTAAAATGAACCGAATTTTAAAAGCGCCTCGAAGTAAATGACCTCCAGAGACACACTAGTTTGAATGAGACGATCGATATATTTGCCGTGTTAAAATGCACACCACACCACAAACGTTTTTGAAGTTTTTTTTTTTTTTCAAAAAGGCCACACCACAATGCCTTTTTGAAAATGATTGTCCATTATTCACCTTGAAAAGCTGGATGAAATTTCCACAGCTCATCCTTGAACGCTGCTTTGACCTTCTTGCAATTTTTGACCAATCAGATTAAAACGTGAAGAAATATATAGGGAATGTACTTTTCTTGTGTCTAGAACTAAGGTACTCTATGATGCAAGGAGATCAGCATTTTAATTGCTCCAGTGATACCGATTTATTCCACCAGAGTGAGCATCTGATGCAATATACCTTCTTGGATATGATATTAAGATGCAACATTCATAAGAATAAATGAGAAGTTTTGATCTTGAAACTTCCTATTCTTGATGCTGAATGTAGTACCTGATGAATGATTAGGACGAAGAAGTCTGCGTATGAAAAATTCCTTACAATTAAATCTCCAGTATTGTTTCGGAGAAAACACACATTTGCATCGGTACTAGGGCAATCACAAGCAACCATAACCATGTTCATGGCAGACAATGAGACTCATTTGATTTCAAGCAAGTCATTCCATGTATTCCTCAGATGGACAAAAAAAAAGGACGAACAAATAGAAGGTAGCAGCCCGGAACAAAACGGCAAGACCAAGTTTCCGAACGCTACAAAAACGAAAATGGACGAAGCAAAAGCCCTCTCACGCTTTTCCAACCGAAAACTTACATATAAGCGTGGGACACGCAATAAAAATGACTCCCAATCGCCCCGTGTATCACATGCAACATCCCTCTCGCACTCACCTTCCACGGAGAAAAACAAAATGATCCAATTAGATTGATAGAAAGGACTTTAAACGTCGTTGGTTTCCCTCTCCCCATCTCGCAAAAAACACTTTTTTCTTCCCAAAACAACCCAACCGGTTCAAAGGTCGTAGAATATCTCTCTTTCCATCTTCCCATAAAAATAAGTCTCCCGCATTAAAAAAAGGGAGGAAAGGCGATTCACGCCAGGTTGGAGTGCGCCCGGGAAATCAATGAAAGAAAACTCATTCAAGCAGCCTCACACCAAAGCAGTCAACGTCCAAAAAAACAAACGTTTCCTTCCCCAAAATATGATAGCTCTCCGCACGTTACCCATTCGCGAATTCATTGATCGAAAGCAACTAAAAAAAATTGTTAATCAGGTGTAGCAGTCAAGTTAAGCAAATCCCCGTGCGAATCGCTCAATTCATCTTTTAGCATGTTTGTTCGGTGGGAGCATTGCACGGTGGCACTGCTTGATCTTCATCCTCGATTTTCAACCTCGCTTCTTCATATCAAAGACCTCAAATTACACAAACTTAACTTTTCTCACCACTTATTCTTTAATCATGGAGAAGAACAGATTTCTACCCAACATGAAAGTCAACTTGAGTGGAGGGTTTTGTTTTACCTCAGCACTATTACTTTCCACAGTTGTCTTAATCTGGATATGATCAGGAGTCAGCTAGGATAAGTGAATGATTGAAATTCATTTGACAGAGACCAAAATTGTTCAAGAATTACGTTGAATCATTTAATTGACATTCCTGGATTTAACAGAAAATCTTGAAATGAATAATTTCAAACAATTATTTTATCAGATGGAATTGAAGAGCCCAAAATTAAAATCATAAGGTTAACAGGTTGATGGGTTTACTTTCAGCGAATAGAAATCAGGACCCGACCAACAGAATACACTGGTAATTCAAGCCAAGAATGTTGAAGTTACAACCAATGCAACCTGATATCATTTTGCCCAACCTGAATCGAGCAGAATAGAGGCGACGGAAATTTAACAGGGAAAAAAAAAAAAAAAAAAAAAAAAAGGATTTACGA